CCGGCCCCCCGGCGCCCCGCCAGCCCCTGCTCTGCCAGCCGCGGGCCCCCGGCCTGGCCCCACCGGCCCAGCCCGGCCCTTCCCGCTCCGGCCCCGGCCCCGACAGCCCATTCTGGGCAGGGCGGCTGCCCCCGCCCGTCGGCCTGCAGAGAAGCGGAGAGCCCCGGGCCGGCCCCCTGGGGGCCTCCGCCGTCCCCCGCCTCTGCTGGGGCAGCCGGGCCGCGGGCCCGCCCTGGCGAGGAGTCTGGGCTCGGCTGATGGGGGTACACCGGGGGTACACCGGAGCGGGGGCTGCCGGTCCCACGATTCCAGCCCTGATTTCCAGGCCAACGTGCAAGGCTACCGCCAGCCTCGGGGGACCCGCGGGGTGCCCTCGGACCGAAGACAACGGGGACTCCGCACCCGGGGCTGTGCGGGGGCTCCCGGCTCCGCAGCTGTTCGATCTCCGAGCCCCGCTTCGGGCGGCGGTGTTGGCGGGAGCCCCGGGAGATCCGCGCGGTCGGTGCTTTGCCGGTCTGCGGGCCATGTGGGCTGGTGGGGAGCCCGGCAGGACCGTGGCCCCCTGCCCGTGGCTGTTCCCCGGGGCTCGGTCCGAGGCGTTCCTCAGCCCTCCGCCCCGCCCCGGGCCCTCGGCAGGAGCCCCGGTGGGGCCGGTGCCCGGCGGGAGGAGCGGCGCCGGAGCTCCCCTCCCCACCCGTTTGGCAATTGCTGGTTCCGAGCTCGCACACAACCCGAGCTCTGTCCGTGGTTTATTTTAAACAGTTTAATTTGCCCCGGAGGAGCGGCCGCTGCCCGGCAGAGACCAACCCAGTGCGGCAGTTCTGGGAATCAGCGCCGGCAAACCGGTTGCTCTGAAATGCAAACGAGCCCCGGAGCGCTGCCCGGGCGGGCAGGGGTAGCGGGGGAGGGACGGGACGGGCACGACGCGGCTCCGGGGCTCCCCGGCGGGACCGGCTCCCCGTGTCGGGACCTGGCGGGGGGGACCCGCGGTCCCCGCGCTCTGCCTTGCCCGGCGGGGTTCCGCCGCGGGCAAGAACCGTGTACGTCCCTTCGGAGCCGTTCAGCCGCGCCGGGGCTCGCCCCGGGGGGAGAAGAGACACCGGGGGGTGACATTGCCGGGCAGGTGGTGAGCCCGTCCCACGTGTGCGGAGCAGGGGAGCCCCGGCGCGGCCCCGCCGGACAACGAGCCCTTCGTGAGCTCCTCCCGGACCCTTCCCGGCCCTCCGCGGGGTCCGCGCTCCCAGGCTGGGAGTGACGGCGGGGGACGGCCGGCGTTCCCGGGAGCCGCGGCCGGGCCCGGGCGGGGCGGAGGCGCGGGCAGCGGCGCGGAAGCGGAAGGCGGTGTCGCCATGGTAGCGCGGAAGCGGAAGGCGCGGGCGATGGCGGCGGGCGGCGCGGCGCTGTGGCGGCGGCTCTCGGCCTGGCTGCCGCGGGGCCGCCTCGGCCTGGCCGCGCTGCTCGGCCGCCTCTCCGACCGCCTCTCCCGCGGTCGCGACCGCCGCGCCCGCAGGTAAGGACCGGCCGGGACCCCGCCGCCTCTCCCGGGGCTGCGAGGCAGCGGGAGCCCCCGCAGTCGGTGTCGCGTTACCGGGGCATCCCCCGCTCACCGCTTCCCCTTTCCGGCCCGGCCCAGCCCCTTGGAAAGACCGCGTAGGGTAAAGGGGCGGCCCGGTGCCCCCAGGCCGGGCTCGGGGTCGCGTTCGGCTCTGCTCTCGCAGACCCCTGTAGCTCGCCCCAGTGCCCGATCGCCCTCGGGACAGCAGCTGAGCTTTATTTCCCCTTCATTTCCCATTTCCTTGCCTCCCGCTGTCACTGGGCGCCCCGCGGCTATCACAGCTCAGCCCTCGGGGTGGCACCTGCCGGGTTTGGGTGCTCGGCTCAGTCCCTCCGGCCGAGTGGTCGCGGAGGGCGAGGTGTCCCCCGGGCCGGGGCCGAAACAGGTGCCAGCCCCGTCTGTGCCCGGCGGGCAGGGAGCTGAGAGGGGCAGGGCCCGCCGTGCCCGGTGCCTGTCACCGTGACAGTGACCGGCGGCGGTGAGCAGCCAGCGGCTGTCACCGTGACACTGACCGGCGGCAGACACCAGGCAACGTCTGTCACCGTGACAGTGACCGGCGGCGGTGAGCAGCCAGCGGCTGTCACCGTGACAGTGACCGGCGGTGGTGAGCAGCCAGCGGCTGTCACCCTGACACTGACCGGCGGCAGTGACCAGCCAGCGGCTGTCACCGTGACACTGACCGGCGGCAGACACCAGGCAACGTCTGTCACTGTGACAGTGACCGGCGGTGGTGAGCAGCCAGCGGCTGTCACCGTGACAGTGACCGGCGGTGGTGAGCAGCCAGCGGCTGTCACCATGCTCCTGGAGGAGCTGGATCATCAGTCTGTGCTCTCGTTCACACCGAGGAAATTCTTGCCACACTTCTCTTTTGGTCTTGCCAGTGTTTTTAGGGCAGATAAATTGGGCTGAGCCCTGGAAAGCAATCACTGAGTTGGCAGAGCAGCAGTGTAGATGCCCCCGTGTGCTGCTGTGTGTGGGTGAAAGGACAGCACTGTGTCCCGCAGTTTCATTTCACCTCCGGCTCTGAAGATGAGGTTTTACAGTGAATAGGAGTTTCAACTACATTGTGAGTTTCTGTACCAAACCTACATTTTAAAAAATAGAACACACCCCAAAAAAATCCGTTGTTTCTATTTAGGGTTAACTTTTTATTCAGAAGGGGTATGAGGTGGTTCCTTTTGATTCCGTTTTCTCTTTCTGGTTAACTCAGTGATGTGAAGTACTTGGAAAGGGCTCCCCCCTCATTCATTTTCTGTTCCTCTGAAACCTGTTTTGTCACAGTGTGGAATTTTGATGATTTCTTCATAATGTTACATGGTTTCTGATAGTTGTGTGGGCGTGGTTGGTAGGTTGGTTGTACTGGGTAGTCACTGAGCTGATGTCAGTCGCTGGTGGGTAGGGGCTGCTGCTCTGGGAGCCAGTTGCTCTGCCAGTGGACCTGTGGCTGGAGCAAAATACGGATTCATTTGATAATCCTAAAAGCCATAGGTTCTCAGAGCTGAATAAGGTGTAAATTTCAGTATTGGGTTGAAAGACCAAACAATGTTGACACACTGTAGATTACTTAGGGAGTGAAAAATCTGGAGGATGCAGTTAGTGAGGATAAATTGACCTATACAGAATCAGTCTGGACCAAACCAAATAGTACTGGTGCTGCAGGTTGATGTTCCTCAGATGTTCCAGTCAGAGTCCAGATGCTCCAAGCTCAACCCATCACTGCCTGCAGCCCTGGGAGCTGCCCCTGGCTCCAGGCAGGCAGGTACAGGGCCACAGGCAGGGAGTCAGGTGCAGTTGGACTTCCAGTTCCAACAATCCTTGCTACAAAATGCCTTCTGGGAATCATGTTTCTGGAAAGTGTCTGCTTGGCCACTGGTCTGGCTTCTGAGATGAGGAGACAATATTCTTCTCTGTTGATTGTTATTGTAAAATACATAAAATTTGCCACTGCTTCCTCCCTGGGAATAATTTCAGAGCATGTTATTTTTGACCTGTGGGGCTGGGTTAGAGCCCAACAATGCCACTGCTCTGTGGGGTGAGCATTGGGTGGGTTTTAAACCCCTGTGTTTTTTGATCCAGTGTGAATTCCTGTAGCTCTGTGTGCCATGCTCACTTGCAGAGATGGAACAGAGGGAATCTGCTCTCTGTGTGTGGCCTGTGAGGCCTGAGGTGAGCAAAGCTGTGTGAAGGTTGTGCTCGGGTTCTGTAGAAACTTAGGAGAATGTACCTGAAAAGTGGTATTTCTTGTGTTTCTGTTCTGCTTTAATTTTTCTCTGCACCTTTTAGGGGATATTTGCATTGTTTTTAACAGCCTGTGCTGGTGATCTCTGTCACTTCTGGGTATTCAGGCTGAGCCCAGTCCACATGACCCGTTCAAACCCACCATCCCGGGAATTCCTGCACTGACTGACTCAGATTTCGGTGTTCATGAATAGTCAGTGACAAACTCATGGATTTGCCAGGAAACGCCACTATGAACTGGTTTCCTTGTAAGGATGTTTGGAAACCTTGTGAAGATCCAGGGTTGTATCATGAACCAGATGAGTGAAATCATCTTCCTGGAATCTGTGTTCATTTGGGCTCTGGATTGTGGTAAAAAAGCCAGAAGTTCCTTGTAACGAATTCTGGTAAAAGTTGTGATCAAGTTTCCTCTTGGTGTGTGGTGATGGTGGAATGACCAGGATGGGCCACAGGACGGTGGCTGCCTGCTGGCCCGAGGGCCTGCTGCTCCTCAGGGTAGGACAGGCAGCCCGCTCCATCCCAAGAAGCTCCCATGAGTGGGGTTTGCAGACTGGAATGGTTCCAGTGGGTTCAGGGAGGCAGTTCAGTTCCTTGCTCATGGATTCCTGGATCTCATGGGAGCTGCTGCTGCTAATTGTGCTGAAATGTGGTTTTGTCAGGCGAACAGACTCCTGCCGGGGGGTTATTCTCTGACTGGATGAATTTGCATGTGTGAAACCTCCGAGAGGAGAAGTTGCTGCTTGCTTCCTGTCACCCACTGCGTGATGCTGGCAGTAAGCTGGTTTCTTCCCAAAGTGACTTCAAAGAAATTAAATTTGTTCTGAAATTTCTTTTTGAAGAATGAGTTTTCTGATGTCTCCCTCACAGGGAACATGTGGAAAGCTCTCCTTTTGTGAGGTTTGCAGGGGAAGTTGTGACTCTGTCGTGCTTCTGCGAATGCTGGTGGCATTGCTGGACAGGGACGGATTCCTGTTGTGGTTCTTGGTGCATTCCTCCTGGGACGTAGTTGCTGCTTTTGAGGGTCATTCTTGGGGTGGGATTGCTCTGCCTTTGCTTGGGGCTTGCACTTGGCCACCCTGTGTGCTGCAGATCTATTTTTGGATAAGGTTGAGGGATGGAGGCATTTTTCTCTTTAAAGCAGCCTGATCTTTAAACCTGAAAGGTGACCTCAGCCCAGCGGAGAACAAAGCTGACATGAAGGGAGCGTTGGCCGTGGCCAAGCTGATGTGTGTGTGATGGAGATAATTCGGAAGTGGCTGGTTACAGGTACAGGTGGTACCAATGCAGCACTGCCAGACACCTGAGCATCCACACTCTCATTTTCTGCAGCTCCCGGCCTCCTTCCCCTCCCATGTTGTCCTGATGAAGTAGCTGTTTCCCCTCATCTTCATGCCAGCTGAGGGGAGGAGCTGGTGATGTTCAGGTCTGTTTTCCCTCATTTTGCCCTGTTTCTCTCTGTTTCTACATTCGATTTTGGTGATCCAGATCAGATTGTGGAAAAGAAAGAGAGAGGCATTCTTGCCTTTGTGGATCCTTGCCGTGTATTGGCCCTGGCTGCAGCTCTTCCTTTACCTGCTCGGAGTCTTGCTGGGAAGCAAAAGTTTCACTACAAAGAATTTCTCCATTTTTTTTGCACAGATCATCATGGCTCCTTCTAGCCCCACTACTCACCCCTCCTGTTCCAGTGATCACAGCCCCACCATGTTCCCTCTGTCCAGAAGGAGCACACAGGTTCCAGTGGATCAGGAATCTGGTCCCAGAGTTTGGGATCTCCAGCTCGCATGTCAAGGTGCTTTCATCCCCGGCAGAATTCTATGAGCTCCTGAAGGTAAGGTGTGGGCTGCAAATTGTGGGAATGGTTTTATACAATCCCAGTTTTGCAGCTGCTGCCGGTAACTGCTCTCATATGGAGTAGGTTTAGCTGCAGGGAGTGTGCTCTTCAGTTTCCCAGGAAGGACTAGTTTCTTCCTTGAATTTTGGAGGCAGCAGTGGTGCTGCTGTGGCTCCACAGAGCTCCATGTGTTTTACGTGCCTCTGTCCATGTGTTACCTTTCCTCCCTCTGGCCAGGGAGCCAGAGCAAAGATTTGGCTGAGGACATCCTCCCAGGAGAGTGCAGCGTTGCCAGGTCTGGGCCGATGGCTCCTCAGCACCCCGTGTGAAATTGAACTTGTGTTTTGCTGCTCCCAGGTGCAGATAAAAGCAGCCAAGCGGCGGGTGGTGATGGCCTCACTGTACCTGGGAACAGGACTCCTTGAGCAGGAGCTGGTGAGTGTGGAAGGGTTTGGGAAGGCCAGGAAGGGAATGCAGGGGAGGGATGTGCAAGGGAGGCACGCTTCTGGTTGAGGTCTGGTATAGAGCCAGGGAACTGTTGCACTTCTTCAGGGGATAGTTAGCCTGGACCTGTCAGAAGGGACTGGCCTGCTGTTCAGAGTGCTCAGGGGGCCTTTGTAAAACTCAGGTCATGGGAATCTATTTTTCCCTGGCATTTTTCTTGAATTCGATTAGAGCTGTAGTTGTATGGTGCTGTGTTTGGTGCTCCAGGACACAGATGAAGGATTGGTTTTCTGCATTTGAGACTGAGGTCAGCTTTGCTTCATGGTATTTGCCTTTTTTTGTTCTTTCCCCTGGAAACAAAAGCATTTTTGCGCAAAGGCTTGAGGAAGAAGCCTGGCCTACTCCAGGTTCTGATGTTAGGAAGCAAATGCCCTGGTAGGGTAAAGGTTGATGGAGCCTGCATAGGATTTATGCCCAACTTTGTCTAGACTTGCACATAGGATTTGAATTTGCATGTGACAAACAACCTTGTAGTTAAAGAATAAAAATCCAGTGAATTCCTGCCAACGTTTGTCTTTGGTGACACAAGTCTGTGATTTGGGAATGATATTGGGACTTTTTCTGTGAACATTAATTGCTCTTGTGAGACATGAAGAATGCAGACATGTAAAACTGAGGCCCTTTGATCTGTGGCTTTAGGCTGATGGAGGCTGCCAGGCTGGCAGATGCAAAGTCTGAACTGGCTGTGCTTGGCACAAGGAGGAAAGACTTGCACCAGGGTGTGGGAGCTTGGCCGGCGTCTCCTGCTGCTGAGCACTTCCCTTAGAAAGTGTATTTGCTTTTGTAATGAGGAGAGAACTCTCTCTGCAGGTGTATTGCTTAGAAGAAACACTGGAGAAATCGCTGCAAGCAAAAGGCTCACCTGACCTCAGAGTTTCCATTCTCCTCGACTACACCAGGGGTTCCCGGGGTAGGAATTGCTGCTCATTGCTTTTGTCAGAGCCTGATTTTACTATTAGGGTAGGGAGACAGTTCTTTTCAGAGTGGGTCTCTTGGCCAGCTGGACCTACTTGCTTAAAACATGCCCATTTCAGGATTGTCCTTTTGTATTCCAGAACTGCATATTCCAAAAAAAATCTTCAAGCTGAACAGCTTGTCTTCCAAAAATAGGTGGTAGGGGCAAGAAGGGCCAAACTACTCTGTGCAACTGGTATAGTCTTGATTGGTTCATTTGTTAGTGCATTTGCCCTTACCCATCATGCTCACTTACATTTTCATTTTGAAAGGAGAACGGGAATTGTTGGAAGCAGCAGCACACTGAATCAGGAACCTGTGTTCATCTGCAGTGACTCTTGTAGATGTGTTACCACTGCTGATGAGGCTTGGTTAAGAAGCTTGAAAAGTGTCAGACCTGTCCTGTGACTGATTCTGAATGTCAGTTTCAATATTGACATAGTGCAAATGAAAGTGATCTAAAAAAAACAAAGAGGAAAGGAAAACATGTGAAGTGCCAGTGGATGGGAGGGGTGCTCACCCTGTGACCAGCTGAAGAGCTGTGTCATGGTGTGTCCTATCTGTGTGATCTTTGTGTGAAACTCCCTTTCTCTGCCAGGCAGGAAGAATTCTCGAACAATGCTGATCCCGTTGCTGCAGCGATTTCCCGAGCAGGTCCGCGTGTCCCTCTTCCACACCCCAAACCTGCGTGGACTGCTCCGGCTCCTGATTCCAGAGCGTTTCAACGAGACCATTGGGCTGCAGCACATCAAGGTCTATCTCTTCGATGACAACGTGATCCTGAGCGGGTGAGTCCCGCTCTGTGCCTTGGTGCCATCGTTTCGCTGGCCTTTGGGCAGGGTGTCTGTGCTGCCAGCCTTGTCTGAACACCTGGACTCCGTGGTGATCCTATCAGTGCTCTTCTGAAATGGGAGAGCCACCATAGTTCCTGCACCTGAGATTCTCAGATGAAAGCGAGTCTTTCTTAATGGGAAAAATATTTTGAGATTCTGAAGGAAATGGCCAATTTGTGCTTTAGTGCAGCTATCTCAGAGTGAGGCCTGTAGCCTAGCCTGGGAGGTTGAGAATCTTGTGCCCGTGCTCTGAACTCATCTCTTCCCTTTCTCTTCAGTGCAAACCTGAGTGATCTGTACTTCACCAATCGTCAGGACCGCTACGTCCTGCTGCGGGACTCTCCCGAGATCGCAGACTTCTTCACGGAGCTCGTGGATGCAATTGGGGATGTGTCCCTGCAGTTACAGCAGGACGATACAGTCCAGATGATGGAGGGAATGGTACACCCATACCAAGGTAGGAGGGAGTTGTCTCAGCTGGTTGAGTGATGGGATCCAGAGGAGAGGAGTGACAGCCAGGGTTTAAGGATGGCTTAGACTCCATCTGTGTGGGAATTGCTGGGTGTCTGACCATTGTTCAGGCTGTGGGGGTGCCCTGTTTTGTGCCATCCAGTATTATAATCAAGCTTGCTTGAGTTTCAGTACTGGGTCTGTTGGGGTTTTCCCAGCACAGTGGCTGTCACAGGCTGATTTGACAGGGCATGCAGAGACTGGAAGTGACTCTGCTGCCTCATAAATGTGCTGCTTTTGGCCTTAAACAAGAACTTCAGTCCTCTGAGAAGTTTTTTCTGATATTAGCAGCTGCAATTCCAGGTGCTCTGGGTGTGCATGTTCTGAAGGGTTTATGAATGTGCCGCTATTGTTGGTAATTAATCTTTTGTAGTAGAGTTTGTTCTGGGAATCCAATGGAAATCAGTTCAGGAAGACTGGGAACAAGTGTAAAATTGGGCAGAGAAAGGCAGTGAAGTGCCAGGCTGATTGCGTCATCAGTTTTTGTCCTGGCCTTGCACTGCTGGGTGATGTAAGTTCAGGCTGGGGGTGGGAGTTTATTTGTGTGTTCCTGCTCATTTTTGGTTGTCAATGTAGCCTCACCCTCGTCCTCTCCTTTCACAGAGGATTTTTCAGGCTGCTGCCAGTTGCTGAGCATTTCTCTTCTGTAATGTAGCTGTGCTGACCTTGAAACAGCTGGTTTGGGCCTTAAGACAGAGTGTGCGCTCTGTGTTGGCTCCTGTTTGTTCCTGTGTCCATGTCCTGTCAGTAGCTTTTCCTGGTGTGTAAGAGGTGACACGTAGCTCTGTGCCTGTAGAGCTCAGACACATCTCTCTGACTTTTCCTGCAGGAGACAAAGTGGCTTACTGTGAGATTGCCAACCGGAGGGTCATGGAGGTCATCAACTCTGCCCGCACACGGCAGGAGCTCCTTCATGCAAAGACTTTCCACAGCAGCCAGCCAGGCAGCTCCCTCTTATCCCAGCAAGGCTCTCAAGCATCTGGGAGTCTGAAACCAGAACCTGACACCTGGATCTATCCCTTAATCCAAATGAAACCTTTTGGGATTCAAATAGATGAGATGGTCACAGAGACACTGCTGACAGAGGCTGAGCGGGATGCCAGGATATACCTCACCACTGGCTACTTCAACTTGACACAGGCCTACATGGACCTCATCCTGGGCACAAGGGCCGAGTACCGGATCCTCCTGGCCTCGCCAGAGGTCAATGGGTTTTTTGGTGCCAAAGGGGTGGCAGGTGCCATCCCTGCTGCCTACGTTTACATTGAACGTCAGTTTTACAGTGAGGTCTGCTGCCTGCAGCAGCAGGAGAGGGTGCAGCTGCAGGAGTACTCCCGTGCTGGGTGGACGTTCCATGCCAAAGGTAAGGTGCCCTTATCCCCAGGAGTGTTGTTCAGAGGTGTGTGAGAGCTGTGCATTTGGATTGCGAAAGGAGTAAGGGGCTGGCTGGGTGCCAGTCTGGGTTTAACCTTCAAAACACTCCTCCAAGGTTCAAACAGCGTGCTTGTGTAAACCTGGAGGGTTTGGATCACTTGGGGGATGCCTTGCCTTTGCCTTTGGTTCAATACAGTCACAGGGATGATGTGAGAGCTGTCCCTGTGGTGGCACTGAAGCACTGCCTGGATGAGAAAGGTGATGTGAAGGAAAGGGAGCATCTGGATGTGTTTATGATGCAGTCAGTGCCATGGTGCAGTGTCTTGTATCCCTTGGGCTGGTTTCAGCAGGCAGGAGTGCTGACTCTGCTGGGATCCTGCAGCAGTATTGGGGGCAGGTGCTGGACGGGAGCTGTTCCCAGGGCCTTCCCAGCAGGTCTGTGTGGGGATAGTGTCACTGTTGGGGGATTTGCACACCAGCTCCCGTTCCCAGCTCACCAGGGGTGCAGTATGAGGAGCTGCAGCATGTGCTTACAGGAGTCAGTGCAGCCAGAGGGCAAGGGGCTGAGGAAGGAATGTGGACTAACATGCAGTGAGTTAATGAATGCTACCCTCGAGGTCTTCTCTGGGAGACCCTGAATTCCTGCTGGATACACTGTGCCCAGCTCCCATGGGCTCAGCACAGTGCTCCAGCTGGAGTGTTTGGGCTGTGATTGGAACACGGGGGCTCCAGCCATGCCTGTTTTGAAGAGAGCTGTTAGCAGGAATGGCTCCATCCCCCTGCTTCTTGCAGGAGTGCTCAGAGGGAGGCTCAGAGGTGGGAGGGAAAGCTGCCCAGTTGGCCTTCCTCTCGACTGTCAAAAATCCCTGGGTGCTTCTGGGTGCCTCTGTGTTGAAATGACAAACAGTGCTCGGAGTGCCCCTCCCCAGCACGGCCAGGAGTGCAGGGAAAACCCTTATCTGACACAGGGCAGCTCGAGGGAGGGCCCTGCCTGCCTGCCTGGGGTGTCCCCTGCCTTTCAGGATGCTCAAGCTTGAGCGATCTGTGGTTCCCAGGTTCTGCCTTTGTTGGGCACTGCTGACTCCCAGTGGGATGTGGTTTGGCATAAACAGCCCAGAAACAAGGGCTGCTTTTCCCAGGTACCAAAGTGCAGATGGTCCTGTTTGGTCAGCTGGGCCTCGTGGGCTCTCTGCTGTGTGGTGTTTGCTTGGAGGGGGATGCAGGGCTTGGAGTTCAGCAGCTCCCATGCCTAGCAGGAGGGACAGCTGGAGACATTTGCTGCCTTGTTTCCATTCCCTTTCAGAGTGCTGGGAGGATCAGTGTGCAGCTCCTCCTCTGGCATGCTCTGCCCTTGGCACACGTTGGATTCACCTCATTTCCTTCTGCAGGAGTCATATGGTGTGGCAGAGAGGACAAGGACAGAAGAGGGAAGGGAGGAAGCCTTGGGGATGTGAAGGGCATGTGCACAAGGAGCACATGGAGCCTAGCTCCTGCCTGAGGACATGAGATTCCCAGCAGCAAACAGTGCCTGTTGGTGCTTCCTCTCTGGGCTGAGACATGAGACAGCCTTGAGTCTCCCATGGGATCCCCAAACACTGGGACTGTGCTGCATGCCCCTCCTGCTCCCCTTAACCTCTTTGTACCTGCGTGCAGAGTGTCAGGTAGTGCCCGGGATGTCTCTCCTGGGTGCCCATGCAGGTGTGGCAGAGCTCTGCACAGTTGGGGTGCAGGTCTGAGCAGGACTGCTAGTAGTGTCCATCCCAAAGCCCCCTGCCACTTGCCTGCATGTGGTGTTGGGGGTGACACGAGGCTCAGGGATCCCTTCTGAGCACGCTGTGGTGGCAGGGTGCGGGGCAGGTGGTGTGTGCTGTGAGATAAACCCTGGTAGTGCTATTGACTGGCGCTGGGAAGCTGCGCTTCCCCTTGCTGGAAGGTGAGTCACTGTTGGAGCAGATCCTGCCAGATGGCTGTGAAACCAGAGACCTGTAAAGGCTGTGGGACTGCCACAGGACACTTGGGAAGGCAAGGAATCTGTTCCTCATGGCTGCTGCTTGGGCAGAGGTCCAGCCTTTGGCTGGTCAGGCACCAGACAGCCCCTGGCAGGGTCCTGTTTGGTGGCAGAACGTGACAAAACTCTGCCATGTGGCTCTCAGGGCCCTTGGAGGGCTGTCCAGCCCTGCTGTGGTGGGGTGAGCCCGCGGGGGCTGGAGGCATTAGGGCAGTGCCAGCTCTGTGAGTTGTGCTGTGGGGGCGGGGAGGAGCTTACAGGAACTGGCAGTGAATCGGCAGCATCTTACTCAAGGCATTCTTGGAACTGCTCTGGGGCTGAGTTGGGAAACCTGCTGCTATTTTAAGGCCGAGGTGGTTTTTATGCTACGGGTTCTTTGTTGCAGTCTGTGTGTGACCAGCCATGGGGATAAGCCTCTACCAGAGACTCACCCAGGGCTCTGCTGAGGAGAGCAAAGGCTTTCTGGCTCCATTTGTGCAGAGTGGCCACACAGCCTCTCCTTGGCAGCAGTCCTGATTCTCCTGTGGCTGTTCCTTCTTGCCCTGCTGCAGTGATGTGCTTGAGAATAATGTGATGTTTCCATCTTTCCCTTGAAAACCTGTCCTGGGCTCTGTCCTGCTGTCTGTGCTGGCAGAGCTGTGGGAGCTGTGTTGGTGAGTGGCACTGGGGGCCAGGTGTCCTGGCAAGAGTCTGATCTCATTCCTGATGGCTCCTCTGGAAGTGAGGGTATGAAATAATTTGCACTTCTCATCTGTGTCTTTTCACAGTGGCATGTGAATTCACCTGCCAGAGCTGGGAGGTGCCTCTTCATGTCATGGTCCCAAGATGGGGGCTGGTCCCTGACCCTGGGACAGGCTGGACAGACTTAGCCTGTCTGGCTGGGACTTTGGGGCTGGTTCCTTTACTGAAAACCTGTTTGTCTTCTCTCAGTGTTTCTGAATTCACTGTGGTGCAAAACAGCCTCTAATGCAGTGACAGGACTTGCTCTGGGTTGTTTTGGGGCAGTGTGTTCCTGGGGTGCGCTGGGGGTGCTGCACTCCCAGTCAGAACACTGATTTGGGCTGTGCCAGGGCACCCCACACATGGCACACACCCCACACACTGCACACACCCCTCACACCCCACACATGGCACACACTGCACACACCCCACACATGGCACACACTGCACACACCCCTCACACCCCACACATGGCACACAATGCACACACCCCTCACACCCCACACATGGCACACACTGCACACACCCCACACATGGCACACACTGCACACACCCCTCGCCCCCCACACATGGCACACGCTGCACACAGCCGAGCAGCCCTGCTGGGTTCTCGAGGTCCTGTATAGAATCTGTAATCCATGTTTAAAGCATTTAATTCAGTCTGAGTAAAGGGACCATGTGAGCCCACCCTGGCCATTCCCTTGGCTGTCACGCTGCCTCTCTTCCTTATTTTTCCTGCAGGCCTCTGGCTGTACCTGGCAGGGAGTGACCTGCCCTGCCTGACTCTGATTGGCTCTCCAAATTTCGGATATCGATCAGTTCATCGTGACTTGGAAGCTCAGGTTGCAATAGTGACAGAAAATAAAGCCTTGCAGCAGCAGCTGCATCAGGTAAGCAGCAGATTCTGTGGATGCTGGGGGGATGTTGTACTTCTGGGTCACACAGGGAGTGCTGAGGACACAGTGGCAATAAAAACCTCCAGCTACAATAACTCAGAAGCTGCTGGAGCATGGGGAGTCCTGAGGAGCTGTCAGTGAAGTGACTATTGATGAGCTGCCTGCTGCAAGTACCCAGTGCTGGGAAATGAGGCCATAACGGGAAGGAATGTGTGTCCCCAGTGACCTCGGGAGTGCTCAGGGCTGGATGTGCACAGAGCCTTTGGAGGACCTGCTGACTCCTCTGCTCACCAGCCACGCTGTGCCTCTGAGCCTTCACCCCAGCATCTGAGCATTGCCCAGGGCCTGGCAGGTTCTGGGCTAATGAGGCCAGGCCCTTGGAATGTCTGAGCTTGGACTGGAAGAGTTTCTGGACTGGCTGGGATGCCCATGAAGTTCTATGACAAAATCCTTGTCTTGAATAGTAATATGACATTATATAATCTTGACACAAACATTTTTAAGTGGTTTGACATTCAATGTCCCAGGGTTTTTCTGTGCTGTTTTTAATTAGGCACCTTGTAATGCTCAGCAGTTCTGCTGCTGCTCCAAATCCTGCCTGGTTCTCCAGCTGTCTTGACTGAATCTTCTGCTGGAACTGACTGTCCCAAGTCATTTCTCCTGCAGTGTTCTGTTTCAAAGCAGATGTTTGGTGCCTCTGTGTGCCTTGGAGAACTCAGAAATGCACTGTGTGAGGCAGGTGCTGGCAGAGTTGTCTGCAAGATCAATGGGAATTGCCCTCTTGCATCAGGGCTCTTCCCTGGGATGAGTCAGAGTGTATCTAATCAAAAACAATTCTATTACTGGAAGAGTTGCTTGAGTATTTCAATTCATATCTTGCCTCTGCTTGTTTCTAATGGAAGGGTAAAATCAATGGAAATGTGACACAAAGGAATTTTCTCACACAGGGCTGCAGTGATCTCATTCAAAGGGCTTTAAACCATTCCCGATTGCTGGAAGCTGATTCTGAGATGGGCTGGGTGTTTACTTTCTGTGGTCTTTTTTAGAAGACTTAATCCATTCCTGGGATGCTGCCATGAAATCACTTTGCCTATGTAATGTTCAGTTCCATTTTAAAAATGTGTGCTGAGATTTGGGAAGAAATGTGAGTGGTCTGGGTGTCTTTGCATGCTTCTGTGAATGAACTAAGATTGATTCAGGGAACTGGCCTTGCCTCTGGTGCTCCAATCTCACCATAATGGATGGTCATGGAGCAGAATCCTCACAGCAGGGCTGACTATAGATCTTGGAGCATTTGAGGGCTCTCAAATTAGAGTGAATTGGCAGATTAATGTGTTGATTCATCTTTTTGGTGTTACTTTCCAGTACTTGATTCCTGCTTCCCTGTTCCACCCTGAATTTAAATAGTGCAGGGTATTTTCTGCTGTTTGTGACAGCTTCAATGATGAAAAAAGATGATGAACAAACTTCCAGGAGCTCTTCTGCTCCTCGTTTGCCTGCAGATCTTGAAACCTGAGTGTTTGTGCTAAAAACCCCACTTAGCTGTGATCAAAGCACTGCTCTCACGTGCTGGGAGCGTGTTATCAGCAGGGTGGTTCATTTCCTCCCTCAGCACTGGGTGCACGCTGTGGGGGCCCGAGTGTTTCTGGTAATTTAGCTGAGATCACGACTGCATATTCATCTGCAAACACGGCGCCTGAGCTGTGTCTAGAAAGAGCTGCATAAGCCAGTCCCAGGAGGTTTGGGTGAGGTTTCCTTTTCTGGCAATTACAGCCTGGCCTTGAGGAGTTTTCTGAAACTGAAGCTCAGCTCATGCAGCTGTGGGGCACAAAAAGGCAAAATCCTCTACCCTTGTTCTCTATAGAGTTTTAATTGCGAATTCTTCAGGAGAAATGGTGCATACTTGTGGCAAGATCCCTGGTCAGCTTTATCTGAGAACTTGCTTCTCTGAAAGACCATTATATAATTTAACACTTGGGCTTTACTGAGATGATGTTTCTTTCCTTGTTCAGGAGCAAGAGCAGCTTTACCTCTGCTCAAGTGTGGTCTCAACATCAACGTTTGAGCAGCCAAGCCGTTATGTGAAATTGTGGGTGAAGCTGGTGACACCTTTGATCAAGAATTTCTTTTGAAAGGAGAAAAGTTGCTGCTTTGGGTGAGTTTGCTGCCATTATGGGGAATTATATTGCACTGACTGTAGTGAATAGCTGCACTGCTCTGTCATGAAAGAAAGATTTGAACAGTTAGTTCATGGACATGCAGATGATGAGGGGAAAACCAGAACTTCTCGATTCCTCCGGGGTACTGCTGCCAGGGACTGGGATCAGTGCTCAGGTCCTGATTGGGTTTTGTCTACTAGATTTTCTGGAAGGGCCACTGGCAGAGAACCCATTCAGTGGTATTTTCCAAGCATGGAAATAAAACTCCCTTTCTGAAATGTCCCTTTCAGAGTTTCACAGAGAGACAGACTGTGTTTGTGCTGTCTTGACCAGCCAATCAAAAGCATTGCTGGAATACTTAAAATGTTTTGTCTTTGTATCCAGTCAGGGCTTTGCTTTGCCCCTGTAGCATTGGTTAACAGGGACAGTTGGTTTTTCTTTTCTGTTTTGTGGTGTCCTGGGGTTCCTGGTGGTTCCACTGCCCTGTGACTCGAGCCCTTGTGAGCTCCAGGCTGTTCCTGTGCCGGGCACAGTCCGTGCAGTTGGCACTGCTGCACGTGTGCCAGGGTGCTGCATGTTCCCACATCCCTTTCACTGACCTAGCAGGGTTTGCCTGGCTCCTTCACACTCAGATCTGTTACAAGTGTCTTTCCTGAGTTGTGAAAGGGCAGGAGAAGACTTTTGGTGCTGGTGTGGGTTTGGGATGTTCCTTGCTGGAAGTAGGAGGCTTGAACCATAACATCCTACAAAGAAGGTGTTTGGAAGCCAGGTAAAAAGGTGTGGGAGTGCAAGGTAGGGTGTGAGCAAGGGTTTCTGATCTGGCAGTGCCACAAGCAGGATTTCTGGCACCTGAAAAAAGTTGATGGTAAGTGTGAAATTCAGTCATAACTGATTATAAATACTGCTGCTCTGTATAGAACTGAGCTGCTCTCTGTGCCTGCCCTTGAGGCTTGTCTGACTGTGAGCTGTGAGAGAAATTTGAAGCAACTGTACTTTAGAACTAATTGTTCAAATATTTCACAGGATGGGATTTTGGTGAATTGTTTTGTGCCAAAGACACCAGCCGTGGCAGATCTAGTCGCCTTACTGTGTGTTACTGCTGATACAGATTATTTGTTGTGAAGAAAAGGATGAGTAGGTTCTGTACCCTAGAAATAGAAATAACATACTTGAGAGAGGAACCTGTTTGCAGCTGGACCTTCTCTGGGCTGTGCAGGTTGGGTGTGGGTGAACTGGACCAAATCTGCACCTTTCTTCTCCCATCTGCTCTAGCCAATAGATGCTCCATGCAGGAGTGTGAGGAGTTTCTGCTCAGTTTGCACTGAGCCATCACACAAAGAGCTGTGGGAAGATGGAGAGCCAGAAGAGGGAAAGGAGTCAGGCACTTGTGTTCAGTTGTTCTGTCTGGCTTCCCACGGTGGTCTGGCTCCCCACCAGCACCACGTCAGAAACCACCAGTGGAAAACCAGTATCCGCCCTGAGAACCCCGTGTGCTGCGAGAGCAGGCTCCACACAGCAGCGCTTCCAGCACTGGTTTTATTGATACTTTGCTAAAACGGTTCTGGTACAATCAAACACAGACCGAGTTACACAACGTGGAGGTTTTTACAAGTAGAAGTACTGCTGTTCTCCATCGGCATTAAAGTCTAGGCCTCTAGGAGCAGCGCCACACCGGCCAGCACCCACTTGGCAGCTTTTTCTTTTGTCTTCAGGTTGAAGGTCCAGACGTAGGTGGGCCCTCTCGTCCGTGTCTTGTAGACGGGGCATTCGTAGACGTTGACGGTGTCCATGCGGTCCACGGGGATGGCTCTGAGCAGGATCACCGGCATCTCGGGCGTCAGCTCCTTCATGCGCGAGTCCGCGATGGAGCCCGAGGGCACGTCCCAGCGCGCACCTGCAGCGACAGCGACAGCTGTGACAGCCCTCGGGGACCCTGCCACCCCAGGCTGCTCCCCGAGGGCCCTTCCTCACAGCTACGCACAGCTGGGGGCTCCGAGGTTAAGGTTGGGTGGAGTGGCTCAATGGTGGTTAGGTCTGACATGTTCTCATCTCACTGTGACCCACGACTGCATTTGCCTTACTGTGTGTGGGATGTCTGAATAAATTCTGTCCCCAGCCCTCCCTTCAACACAGCTTTATGTGGGAATTGCAGAGTTTAAGGTGAACTGGCTGTGGTGGGATCTGTCACATGCTGTCTGGTGTGCTCTCTGCTTTTGTCCAAGTGGACCCTTCAGCTGCTCTGCTGAACTGCCTCCTTCCCTCTCATTAGCAGTAATTATCGTGGATTTAAGTTTCTCAATTTGTCCTACTTGAGCATCAACTATGCTTGAGCACAAATGCATTCACTAAAGCCTTGTAGCTCCAGGAGCCCTGGGGTTCATGGGCTGGAGCCTGAATTGCTAAAACACAAATTTCTGGTTTGGAAAGGCTGTGTGATCCGGGCAGTGCTGCCCTCAGCTGGCGGCTGAGCCTGGATCCAGATGGACCCAGATGGACCCAGGTTCACCCAGGGCTCCCTGCTCTGAGCTGCCGCCGGCGTGGGGCAGAGCAGACCGGCCAGCAAGTGCTGACACTGCACGAGGGAGAAGGGCTGAGCTGGGCCTGCTCCGTGTCTGAAGCACATCAGAGATGCAGTTTTTACCTTCCATGAACAGCCCATGCACGTAGGAGCCTTCTCTAGGGGGAAATGTTATTTCCTCGCGGGTTTTCTTGGTCACATCCACTGCCAGACACATCTTATCCAGTGGCCACTGCTTTTTCCTGGCTGTGGACTGCATGATGGCTGTGAGGAAGGACTGGGGGTTGAAGAATCCCGCCAGCCACACTGTTGCAGGCAGCACAAAATCTGTTGACCAGACTTCCAGTTCCTGGAAAATAAACCAGCAGAGTCCTTTAGGGTGGAGGGCATGCTCTGAGCTGCAGGACACTGTGACAGAGCTGACGCTTTGCTGTGTAAAACCCAAGCTTCAGCTGATCTTGCAGAATGGAGACTGGCTGAAGATGGTGTGGGAGGAATAAGCAGCAGATTCCCCTGCAGCAATGAAGTTGAAACCCTGAATTCATAGTGCAGAAAGTGCTGCTGTTATTTTTTAACAAAGCCAGTTTTATTAATATTTTTATGGGACACCCAGGGTTGTAATGGCAGGGGGAGCTGATGTTCTTTTGCTACAGTGATGTACTGTAATGGGAATCCTGGTCAGACTTGTGCTCCCATTCCTGGAGTAACAGCCCTTTTCAGTTACTTCAGGCTGGTTAAATTGACACTGAGAAATAAACCAGTTACCAATATAGCAGTGCACTGGTGGGGAGAGTCCTGGGGCACCCCAGGCTCTGACAGCCACTGCTCACCCTGATCCGCTGGAGCAGGTCCGCATACCAGCTTGCCAGGCTGAGGAGGGAGGGGTAGGCATAACGTGTCCATGATTCTGGAACGCTGTCATAGAAGAGAGCATTTGACAGCTCTTCCATCTCAGAGGTAATTGTCAGCTCTCCCTTTGAAAAAGAGAAAAGTCCAGGCAGTGTCACCTGCAGCCGGAGGTGGGACAGCCCGAGGGACGTGTGTGGGCTCAGGGAGCAGAAGGCTGGGGCTGCCCGGCTGCACCTGGCACAGCTTGGTGGGTGGGAGCTGCAGCAAAGGCAGAGGGTGCTTCGGAGGACTGGGAGATGATCCAGGCAGCTGCCTGCTGTATACCTGCAGTCCCAGGTCCAGCTCCTTCAGCGAGCGCCTGATCTCGTTGGTCAGGATGTTCATCCTTTCACATTCCTGGAGGGCTACGACAGTGTATGGGGTTTTTTCCTTTGCCTTTGCCATCATCTCCTCCATGTTGAATGGATCTGGCAGCTGCTGGACTATTTCATCCAAGACTGCCTTCACCTGAAATGAGAATGCCATAAACTGCTCTTGCCCAGAGAAAAGTGCTGCAAGTTCCATTTAATTAAGTTGGTAAGATTTTTTTCTTTTTCTGCCCTGGTGTTTCTTTGTACCTTCTCCTCTGTTACTAACACTCCATTCTGTTATTGACTGCTCTTGGGTCTTAAAAAGCTGTAGTTCTTTTCTGGTAGCCACGGTAAGAGACCTGAGGCCATGGAGGCTGTGAAATTCAAGTGTAAAGTCCAGGCAGTCAGGAAGAAGACTAAAAAACTTTCTTTTAAATCTTTGTTTTTAGTAGTTGTTCTCATGAATGGAGGTTCCTCAGTCAGCTCCATCTGCTGAGGAGCCCCATGTAAGCTTCATGTTGCCAGTGGTGCATCTTGGCCCATCAGGGTTCCTGGCCATGCTGCCAGCTGCCCCTGTGCTGTGCGTGCTGCCATCCCTGGGCCGATGAGCACAGCATGGTTGGGTTGGAATCCCCTCCCTCTGCTATCCCTTCCTGCTATGGGGCCTGCTCTCCCAATTGTCTCCAGACCTCTATCTGCCTCCCCTCTCTAGCCTCTCAGTTGTCATCCTTAAGAGGCTTTTTCCCCCATAGTAATTATTTCACTCCACCTTAAAAAAAAAATTAATTTCTGCCATAAAGGACTTGACTTGCCTGTTCCTCTCGGGAGACACCGGAGCCTCCGGCAGCCTCGGACTCCTTGGGCTGCAGTTCCAGCACCGTGCGGAAGAGCCTGTCCGAGGTGACGGTCAGGAAACCCATCTCTGCATTGGGGTGCAGGCCATACAGGTGGGGGCTCTCTCCTGGCAGGTTGTCATCGATGTACTGGTGGTAGGCCTGAGCGCAGGGTCAGGGCCAGCCTTAGCTTGGAAGTGCAGGCAAAGGAGCCCAAAGTTCCCTGCAACCTGGAAAACCCATCTTGGGGCCCTTTATGGCACCTGCCCATGGGCACTGATGCTCCTTTTTAACTTGTGTCTCAGCCAAGTTTTTCCCTTTCCATCTCAAACCACAGGAATTACCTTTGCAGCAATTCTGCACATTCCCAGGGGACTGACACTCTCTCCCTACATTCCCCTTGGTGAGCGAGAGGGAACGTGGACCCATGCCCATTTTTCCAGAGCAGGGTTTTTTTACAGCAAATTGCAATGTTTTTTACCTCATAATCCATGCGGGGAGGGATCATAAACCCTGGAGCCAGGGACACCTCCCCGTCCAGCATCTCGGGCTGCACGTACTCGCTCAAGTACGTGCGGCACAGCCGGCGGTCCCAGTCGTCTGTGATGTGCCCCCCGTACATGATCTCCCCAAAGAGGTACCGGAGGTCATCCCATGGAACCTGCAGGGAGAGGCTCAAGCTGGGACTCCTGAGTGGCTCCCCAGGAGTTCCCCATGCAACCACAGACTGATGGCTCCAGGATTGACCTGTGCAGAGAGGTGACAGTCCCTGGACCCACAGAGGCTTGGGAAGAGGGGTATTTCTTGATCACCCACAGATTTCTCCCTGTCCCACTATGAACACAGCCATCTGTGGTTTGAATCCTGTCTTTTTTCCAACCAGCACTGATCACATTTGTGAGAGCAGGCCTAAAGGTGAGACTTCAGCTCTGTTCACTGCACCTGCGTTCTTGGGGTGGGCTTTGCTGTTTAGGAACCACCCACCAACCACCAAGGCACAGGTTAGGGCAGGCAGGTGAGCCAGGGCAGGCACTTGCTCTGGCTGGTGTCTGATGCCCTTTTCAGCCATCTCAGTCAGGCCAAGTACTCATCCCCTTCCCCTGCCTGAGCATGCAGGGAGCAGGGGAGGAGCTGCTCCTGGCCCTGGGCTTCTTCATGAGACATTTGTGCTGCAAACTGGTGGATGTTCTAAGCAAGGCCAATTGCTGCAGCGTGTGCTGTGCTGAGGAGCAGTGACCTCGTTATCCCTCACCTTGGCGTTGGCCTCCAGGTAGTTGTGCAGGACGTTGACAGAGACGGTCAGGTCACCGTTGTTGAAGGGGTACGACCTGTTCCAGCCCTGGGTACCGAACCTGCGCCGCTCGGCCACCGCTGCGTGGAAGTAGCAAAGGGCAAACAGGATGCACCTGAACTCAGACTCTTTGCTGCACTGCTCCAGTGTTTCCTGCAGAGGAACAGTGAGGGTGGGTTGCAGCTCAATACTGCTATCAGATGCCCCTCTAGTGAAGAACATTCATAGGCAAAAGAGAGCTGAGTGTTCATTAGGAAAAAAAGGCACACCATTGTATTTTAATGATTTGCTAGCTGGTAATTTTTGCACTCATTTATTTATGAAGGAATTAGGAGTTCACACCCCAATGCCCTGCTGACAGCTGAGGCAGCATTTTCATGACAAAGCTGCAGCAGCTCCAGGTTCAGCCTCAGGAAAGGCACTGGCAACCTGGCACTTCCTTGTGCTGGAAACCCTTGGGCAGCTCTGGTTACCCCTAAACCCCTGCCCTCCTGGGCACTCCAGGAGGATGTGCTGGCGAGGGCTGGCTCTAGGTCAGTGTCCTGGCAGCAGAGACACCCGCGAGGTGCTCAGCCTGTGGAGCCCTGGAGGGGATGAGCTGTACCCACTGACCAGAATGGTCCCAGGAGGCAGCTGTGGGAGGGCGGGGATGGCACGGGGGTACCTGGGTGAAGAGGTCCAGGGCTCCGTGCAGGTTGGCGCGCATGCCTGTGGGCGGCTCGCTGGTGATCTTGATGGAGTTGTCCAGCAGCCCCTGCGGGATGATGTGCGTCTCGGGGCTGGGGGCTGGCTCGGCGCTCATGAACAGTCGGTACTCGGGGTGGCTTTCTTGGCTGTGGTGCTCCACCAGCTTCTCCAGCGTGCCCAGCCACCGGGCCACTAGGTGGATGTTCTGCAAAAGAAACTCTCTGCGCCTTGAGAATCTCACTTCCCCCCCAACCCCGATTCCTACTGTGGCTCCACAGGGGGAAGGGGCTGGGTGCAGCCAGCCAGCCCAGGCGGTGTCGCTGCCATCGCCAGCGGGGTGACCCTGCATGCTGTGCCTGGACGCTGGCAGGACTTTGTGCCCTGGTGTGCCAGTTGCCGTCAGGGCTGTGTGCCCTGTGGTGTGCCCCACTGCCCTCACCTACCTGCAGGATGACCCAGTGGCCCTCAGCAGCTGCCTTCTCCATGGCGTGCTCTGCCACCACCTCCTGGCCTTGCCCCAGGGATACGTTGTGGATTTTCCCGTTGTCAATGGTGAAACCCAGCCTCGTGCCTGCCAGGGGAATGTCTGCTGTCAGTATC